GGGACAGCCTGCAGGGTTGGGGACAGAATGTAGGGTGGGGGACAGAAGTGCAGGGTGGGGGGACAGCCTGCAGGGCCGGGGGACAGAATGTAGGGTCAGGGGACAGCCTGCACGGTGGGGGGACAGCATGCAGGGTGGGAGACGGAAGTGCAGCACCACAGGGTGGGTCCTGCTAGAAGCTCCGGCCCCAGACCCTGCTGCCATCCTGAGCTGGCACAGCCAGGCAGATGGGGGCGGGGGCATCAGGAAAGGCATCAAATGCTCAGGACAGAGATGGGTCAGGTGAGCAGGGGAGGGGGCCTGGACCCCGAGCCACAGCTGCCCCCTGGCTTCTTTCTGCAGGGGATGGGAATTGGGGCGGGGGCCTCAGGCCCTGAGCTGGGATCTCAGAGCTGATACCCCCAGCCCTGCAGTCTTGCGTCAGGTTCTGCCAACCTGTTGGAACAAACACGGGCCTGGTTGCCATGGTGATCATAATGGCTTTGGGGTGAAAGATGAGATTGTGCAGCTGCTGTAAACAGGAAGTTAGGAGGGGCAGCTTCAGGGGAGGGGGCCTCTGTTCGCACCCCTGTCCCATGTCCTGCCAGAGCCGAGGGGCTGGGGCAGTGGCATCACACAGAGGCACCAGCCCTCAGACTAATACCGAAGGCTGTCAGGACAGAAACCTCCTGAGATTTCACCACCCTCTCTTACAGATAAGGAAACTGAGGCCCAGATCAGGAGAAGGGCTTGTCCAGGACCCAGCCTTGGGCCTCAGTTTCCCCAGGAAAGGATAATCCTCAGGACTTTCCTCCACAAACACTTCCTGGGGAGGGAGTGATGGTCCCATTCATGCCCGACCCCTTCATCCTCTCGACCTGTTCTGAGACTGAAGTTGGGCCCACCCCTGCGCTGCCTGGGCCTCAGTTTCCCTCAGTGGTAAAATGGAGATAGCAGCAGTGCCCACCCCTCAGCGGGTGGGGCCGGTGCAGGGTAGTGTCAGCTGCACGCTCCTCTGGTCCACGGGGGGTGGGAACTGCGGCCTCCCATCCACGTTGACCTCCGGGGGCCTGGGGACGGCCTCTTTCCTTCAGGGACTGTTTCCGCCTCCATAGGCTGGGGGTGGAAGCCCATCCTCGTGATCCCACAGCCGGGAGGGAGGCAGGCGCCCCACGCCGGTGCCTGCGGCCCAGACCTGGCTCTGAAGGATCCTGGCCCTCTGCCCCAGACCCCAACAGCAGGTGGCACCGTGCTCGGGGGCAGTGAGGGGGCAGCACGGGCCGCCCGTGTCACAATGGGATAGGGCACAAGACACCCTGCCTAGAGGGGTTCAGGGCTGGCCGGCGGGAGGTGGGGTCCACAGTTTGGGGCTTCAGGCAGGAAAGGGTCTGGCAGGCAGGGGGAGTGGCTTTTCCTCCTTAGGGTCTGAGGAAAACACCAGGCTCTGGATAAACAGTGCCATGGCTGCTGAAGAGCAGGGAGGCAAGGCCCACAGGAGGTGTGAGGGCATCTCAGTGAAGCCCATGTGGCCGTCCCCGGTTTTAATAACTCATGAGCCCATGCCCCCTCGTGGCAGCCCTTGGAATTGCAGGCACAGCCTCCTAGCAGGTGGGCTCCTCCCACCACCCTCCGACCCCCCAGCACCTGTTGAGGTCAGAGCCAGGGAAGGGGGCGGGCCACGGACTTGTGGGGGCAGAGCCCTGGGACTCTGGCCAGGGTTCCTGCCTGCCCTGGGCTGGAGGCCCCTGAGGACTGCAGGATCCTGTCCCATGACTTTCACCATCCTGCGTGGTTCTGCTGGCAGAGGTGGCTCCGGGGGGGGGGGAGAGGGTCTGGCCCAGGTCTGGCCCCTGGCCCGAGATGCTGGCTCCTGGGGTGCAGTGGGAAGCTCAGTGGCGGTCCTGCTAGCACCTGACAGGTAGGGACTGTGCCAGGCTGGGGTGCTCTCGGGCCTCAGGTCTGTGTGGGTCCCTGGGGGTGTGGGCAGAGCAGCAGGCCCAGACAGGGCTTTGCAGGTCTCCGTGAGGCCTGGGGCCACCTGGCCACAGAGCGCCATCTGTTGTCTGTCCACTGGGCCTTCCCAGCAACTTCTGGCTCAGGGTGAGTGTGCCAAGGGCACCTCTCAGCAAGGGCACCTCCTGCACTCACCCCTTTGCCAGGGGACAGGGGGGCAAAGGTCGCCGGCATCATCAGGAGGCAGAGCTGGGAGTGGGCTGAGCGCCTGGCTCCTCCACCAGCATCACGCTGCACAACTAGGGGCTCCAGATTCTTTCCTCAAAGGCAAGACCCCCCGGGAGGGGTGGGCAGCATGAACTTCAGGAAGGCGACCTGGAAGGATGGTCACCTGGAAGGGCAGAGGCCCCGGTGGAAGGGTGGGGGAGAAGAACTAGCCCAAGCCCTGCGGCATTCTTTCGCTGAGGGAGCTCAGGGAAAAACCAGGACTAGGGACAGCACGGTGGATGGGACTCAGCACTCCAGCCCCAACCGGCCCCATGGTCCAAAGCTAGCCCCCTCCATCGGCCCCACGGCCTCTGCAGACGGGGTCACAGCGTGTGGCCTCCAGATGAGCTCCTGGGCCCCTGCAGAAGGACACCCCCAGACTCAGCAGCAGGGTCAGCTGGGGACAAATCCCCGACCCGTCCTCCTTGGGCTCCTCTCTGCTGGAGCCAGCTCAGACCGGTTCGAGCCAGCCCAAGTCAATGCTGGGCCCTCCAACCCAGCAACTTGTTGTCATGGCAACCTCAAACTGGAGGCTGCCCAGCGCAGAGCCTGATGCGCAGCAGAAAGGCCTTGGGCTGGCCGATCAGGGCACAAGGTGGTCTCATGCAGGCTGACAGGCATGCGGACGTGGTGTTGGCCTGGGTGGGACAGTCCAGGGAGACCAGGGGGCCCCAAGGGGTCCCACAGTCTGGGCAGGAGCTGACTCTGGGAGCTCTGGGCAGTGGTTCCTTGAGAGTTGGAAGCCAAGGTCTCCCAGCCTATCCTGGACACACCATCCCAGGGGCCACGTCAGGGTCTGAACTAAGGGCTCATGTGCACCTCGGCACCATGAGGATGGTGTCCCTGGTCCCCGCAGAGGCCTACCCCGGTGGCGAGAACAGCCCCAGGTCCCCAAGTCGTCGACCCTGCTCCAGCAGACTAGGAAGGTGTAGGCAAGATGCGAGACAGGGCTGGCAGCCAGCACAGGATGTGCGCCCGGCCTCGGCTGCCCATGCTTGGTCTCAGAGGGGACAGTGGCGGGGCGGAATCTGACCTTGGCTCGAGGGGCCATCACCCTCCCAACCCCTGCAGGCCACCGTGGGTCTGAGACTGGGGAGCCCCCTGGGAGGCACACAGGACCGGCCACGTGGGCTCCTCTGGGCAGGACGGCGGAGCAGGGGGGCGGCCCGGTGGGACAGGGCAGGAGAAGGACACACCTGCAGGCGGCAGCTTGTGGAAATGTTTTAATTAGAGGATTCGTAGATACAGTGGTTAATCTACTGCCCACAATTCCTTACTGATTATTAGGCGCCTCATGCTGGGAGCACTCTCTTCCCTTACAGCAGCAACAGGATGACCACACTTCAGAGTTCTCACGTTACAAGATCACATCATTGTTAAGCCAAGGACTGTGGCACAAAAGGACATTTCATTAGCCAAAGTCACAACAATTTGCTAGAAACATCAATTACTTTTGAATGCTTTACCTAGAAAATATATTGAATTTCCATATATATTAACCACATACATGTGTCGCTCTTCCCAAGTGCAGTTCAGTCGTTACAAAATAAGACATTCTGGGAAAGGGTACAAACACACACCCCAGCTGAACCCCATAAGGCCCTCTGCGTTAAAAATAAACACAGACATCCACCCAAGAGCTCAGCACCCAACACGTCCCGCTGAGCAAGGACCAAGGCACAAGGACCTCGGGGCCACCAGGTGCTGTCAGCTAAGGGCCGCAGATTCCTGGGTTGAGCCGAGGAGCCCCTTCCTGACAGAGGGCCAGGACGACCACTCTCCCCGCCCCTTTGGGGATCACCACCCTCCTCGGTCTGGGCATAGGAGCCACAGGCCACCCGGTTCTGACAGTGAGGGTCCTCAGGGTTGGGGGGGAGGCCAGCTGGTACAGGGCCGGCTCCGGGCCTCCAGTCTGGTCAGCACTGTGCTTGCTGGTACCTCAAGGCCAGGGACCCACCCCACCAATGCTGGAGTGCAGGACATTGGGCCTGACCCTCTGCCACTTCCTGTCTCCACACATGGCACCTCCCTGCTGAGCCGAGTCCCAGGCCCGCTTCCCGCCAGAGCAGCCAGCCGGCTCCCGGAAGCTCTGCAGCAGGCTGAGGATCCAGGGCTTTCTGAGGACAGCGGCCTCCTCAGGCATCAGGTTCAGAACACTCCAGGAAAAGTAGGAGTCCGCGGATAGCGGCCCTCACAGCTGCTCTCTCAGGGCGTCCTGGTGCCAGGGACCCCTGCGCCAGGGGTGGGGGCTGACGTGGCGAACGTGGAGGGCTGGGGGTGCTACATGCAGAGGCCCGAGGGCAGCGACCGAGGCCTGGGCACGCAATGCAGCACCGGACTGGAGGAGGCGGCACGCCCCATCCACGGGCAAGGCTCCATCGCCGTGGCCCAGCCACCCTCAGGGGCCTGCGCTGGCCACGGAGGAGGGCGACCTGCTTGCACGTGGTCCTCTGGGCTCGGCCCCAGCCTGGAGTCAGGCATCTCATCCTCCAACGCCTGGCTGGTGCGCGCTTCGGAAGGCTCTTGATGCCAATTCCAACCTGACCAGATCTGAACTCTCCAGCGCCCTATACCCCAAAGACCCGGGTGGGGGACAGAAACCCCGGACACACACCGTCTCTGTACACATCACTATTTACAAAGGACCAGGACGAGCGCCACGCGGGGCCCGGGCGCACCCAAAGCGCAGACAGTGAGTTGTGCTCAGGCTGAGGCTGGTGCTCCGAGGGGCCTGTGGCTGAGTGGGGGAGCCAGGCACCCTGAGGCCGCCTGCTCACACTTAATGACGATAACGCAACAAAAACCTTTATATAAACAGTTTATTTACTCTAAACAGCAACACAGACAAAACGCCATATAAACACAAAGGAAGTGATGCGGAGACGAGGTGCTGGCCGACTTTGGATCTGGGGCTCGTAAGCAACACAACCCAGGTTCTGCGGAGAGAGAACAGTGCGGCGGGAAGGGCAGGCGGACTTCCTTTCTCATGCAGCCAGCTGAGGCCACGCGCAGCTCTGACTGGGAGAAGCATGCCGCATCTGTGAGCGAGGGATCGAGCTCTGGGGGCTCATCGAAGTATAAAAGTTTATAATTTTACAGCAGTTGAAATACTGACATCAATATTAAAATAAAAGCAAGTTTTACATAACAATCAAAAATACAAAAGACTGAAGGAAGAGACCCTGTGTGAAAAACTGGGCAATTCAGCGAGTCGAGAACTGTGTACCAGTGGCGGAAATGGAAAATGGCGCCCGTCCAACCCTCCCCAGGTGACTAGTAATTGTACAGAGCAACGTTAGATTTGCAAAAAGGTTGTAAACAAGTTCTTGCCAAACCAATCCCTTCCTTTTAGATGCCCCAAGGTTGCTGCTTATGAGGGTGCAAACTTCTTGGCCTGTGCTCGAACTCTCTTCTCGTATTCCACTCTGTTTTGGCTGAGGGGTCAAGAAAGAGACACGTTAGAAGGTGCAGCCGCCCACAGAGGCTGGCACCCCGGAAGCCTGCAGCGAGACGGGGCCACCCCAACCTGGGGCACCGGTCGCAGGGCACAGAGCGGAGGACAGGCTGGCCCGCTGGGCGGCGCCTTGGCTCAGGAGGGCCAGAGACCGGCCTGTGCCGTGGGGCGCCATGAGGATGCAGCCTGGGCCAGGGTCCACATGTCTAACCAGGGACCAGCAGTTTCCTTTTTAAGTTTGAAACAGCTTCATCCCTTGGGAGAGAAAACCCATTGCTCAGCACTATTCTTTGCTTCAAGAGCAGACACCAACTTCTGCTGGTTTCCCCATAGGGCTCTCAATCCCGAGGGCCGGGGTGTGGAGGTCGGGCAGGACCTCGGCTGGGATTCCAGCGTGAGAAGTGCCGCCCAGGAAAAGGGGGCTGAAGGGAAGGCGTGCGCTGCCCAGGCTGGGGTGAAACAGGCAGATGGGAGGGCAGCAAACATGCCATCTGGGGAATAGAGGTGACCGAGGCCCATGGGACACGATGACGTTTACGGACAGGGCTCCCTGCTGCACGGGTGTCAGAGGTCTCAGCCAGCACCTCGGGGCTGCTGTGGGACCCTCCTCAGAGCCCTGGCACTCAAGAAGCACAGCCTCTTTGAGCGCTGCTCCCAGCCCTGGGTGCAGCCGTCACCTGCGGCCCAGGCCAGGAGATGAGGGACAAAGCGCCACCGTGAGGCCTTCCCTCAGCTCTGCCCAGCGCGGATGATAGGCTCTGGTGCCCAGAGCCCTCCCCTCTGGGGAAAGGCTGTGCCAGCACCAGGAGAGGCAGAAACCTGCCCGAGCCTGCCCCGTGCTGGCATGGCGCCACGGCACACGCCAGTCCCGGAAGGCCAGCGTCAGCGGGATGCCCGGCTCACAGGAGCTGGGGAGCGAAGGCCACAGGAGCAGCGTCTACCACCTGGCCGTGCTGCAGGCAGTCTGTGCTCCCACCTTGGCCAAGGGCCTGGCCGGCATGTGCAACCCCAGCTCCCTGTGAGGGGAGGCTTCTGGAAGGGGCTGTGTCAGGCCACGAGGAAAAGGGTGGAGGCAGTTGGCTGGGAGGGCTCTGGAAGGAGCTGGAAGGAACAGCAGAGGCAGCCAAGTGCAGCTCTGCCATTTACCAAGTGAGGCCCGGGCACAGGGCTGCCTCTGGGGTGCTGGGGGCACCCGGCAGGGGGGAACACAGCCTGTGACCTTCCAGAAACGCAAGGAAAAAAGAGATCTGAAATCTTCAAGCATGGTTCACAAAAGGTGCTTTTAACGTGGACGCTTGTGGAAGAAAGAACACCTCGTTCATGAGAAGACCACGGCATGATGCCATCGCAGGCGAGGATCCCCGAGTTCATGGGAAGATGCTCCCCAACCCAAGTGAGCCTGGAGCTACACAACTGACAGGCGGGACCACAGTGCCACAGGCACGCCATCAAACCCCCGGGAACTCAGGATAAGGGCACGAGGGCATCGTGTCCGCGCCAGAGACACACCGGGGCCAGCGCTCTCTCTGAAGGCCAGAGAGGGGATGCTTTTGGCTTTGGGGGCCTCACACTCTGTCCCAATGGCTCAGCTCAGACAGCGTGTACCCAGCGGCCTTATTTACAAAGCCGCGTGGGCCAACAGGGCCACTGCAGACAGATGTCGCGGTGAAAACCAGCCCGAGGGTCAAGAAGGGAGGATGCATCTCAGGGAGTCGGTGGTGCGCAGCGGCCAACGGGACACACGTGGACTCAAGCTGAGCTCCACCAGACTCACGGACAGCCACCCCCGCTGGCTGGCGGCTCGCACAGGGGACTGAAGCCTGGAGTAGGGGCAGCCAGGCAGAAGGTGGGGCTCACTGGGGGTGCCCAGGGTGTGGGAACAGGAACCTCCGCCCCTGTCCAGGAGCGTCCTGCCGCTCTTGGCCACTAGGGGGAACCTGACTGACACCTGGGGTGGGCCCAGGGACCCCAAGCCATTTTGGTGGCAGGGGGGAATGTGCCTCCTACAACCTGGCACTTCTCTCAGACAGAACTGGGACACTTTGCGGGCCAGCTGCTCAGAGCGGCCCGAGGCTGGATGGTTCCAGCCTCAGCTCTTACCCTCTGACCAGCTCCAACTCCAGAAACAACCCTCCTGGAAGGAATAGGCCCAGCCGCCCTCTCCCCTGTGGGTCAGCCCCTTGGGTCCCAGGTTTCTGAATGTGGGCAGATAGAGCAGGGCGGGGGTCAGAGCTCCCAACCTGGTGTAAGGCCCCAACCAGCCCAGCCCAGGAGGCTGGCCACAGGGCCAGGGTCCCCCACTGTCCACTCGGCCAGGCCCACAGTGCTGGGTTTAACTAGCACTCGCCTAAGTCACACCAGGCCATCCTCCCTCAGCACAGATGGTGGACAGACCACGAGACTCATCTGGCCATCGCAGCGCCACGCACGGAAGGGCTGCGACGTGAAGGGGGTGCCCAGTTCCCCGGTGGGGACGTCACAGCAGCTGGGTGGCCAAGAGCAAGCTGGAGTGCTACTTCCCTACTGTACCATGCCCATGGGAGGCACCACGCCCAGGGCAGGAGCAGGAGAGAGGAGGCGGGAGGTCTGGGGTCCCTGGGAGAGCTGCACTGTTGGACACGCCTCCTTCACACCCACCCCCAGGGGCCTTTCGCTGCGCTGGACCAGGGCTCCCTGAGACAGGGTGTGCCTGGCCACAGCTCATGAGGGCAAAGTGGCCAACAGGAGCCCATGTCACCTGACCTCTGCGCCTCCTGCACTGTCCCCCACGACACTTGTGCCACACCAGCTCTGACCACCCGTTCCTGCCACCACAGGCCCTCTGCACACACAGCTCCCACTGCTGACAGGGCCTCCCCTTTGCGGTGCTGACCTGGCTGCCACCCATGTGAGCTTGTGTCTCAGGGCCTCCCTCCCTCCCAGGCTTCTGGGAGCAGCAAGGACTGTCCCCCAACCCACAGCTCGCCTGCCGTTCCCCTTCTTACGGGCAGCCTTCCAGGCAAGGCCGTGCAAGCCAACGAGAGATTGCAGCAAGCAGAACCAGACCGCTACTAACCAGTAAATCGTGTAGGCCTCTGCTTGAGCTGGATCTTGGATATTTGGTTCATTTAGAAGTTCCTGTATTCCTAGTAAGATCTGTATGAAAGACAGAAACAAGCACGCGGAGGTCAGTGGTGTGAGGGGCAAACTGTTCTGGGACGTCGGCCTCAGCTACCACGAAGGACCACAGCTCTCTGCTCCTGCAGGAAAATCGAGGCCAGCGCCTCCCGCTGCGTACCTGCTTAATCGTGATGGCTGGCCGCCAGTCCTTGTCTTCCTCGAGGATGGACAGGCACACTGTGCCTGAAGGGTACACGTTTGGGTGGAACAACGGTGGTTCAAATTTGCCTGGACCACAGGGAAGAAAGAAAACGTGTTTTTGGTGGCAGCTGTTGCTCTACAGAATAACATCTTGCCTGATGATGTCCCCCCCACCCCCCACTGGGGCACCTTGCTGGTCACCAGGCATTTGGCCAAGATTTAGAAAAACAAAACTGTGGCCACAAGGTGGGAGGAGGTAAGAGGTACAAGCATGTGCGTTTCACTCAGCGTGAAGCCACGCCCCCCCCAGGACCCCCACCCCCAGCAGCCAGAGCACAGAGCCCCAGGGGGGCCTCCCCTATGTCCCTCCCCAGCCTGTCAGACCCGGGAAAATGGGAAGGGGCTGCCGCAGCAGGTGAAGAGGACCTGGGGAAACAGCCAAGGCCCTTCCAAATAAGTGGCCACTCTCAAAGCAGATCATCCTGCTTTAAAAACTGAGGTTTTAGGACCTCACGTTTGTTCTTTCAAAAAAAAAAAATTATTTTCTTTTCAAAAAAACGAATACATGTAGAAAATCTGAAAATATGAAAGCGCAGGAAAAAGATTGCCAGTAGCCCTACCCAGGGACTCTCAACCACGGCTGACATATTAGTATACTTCTCACGTTTTTTATGGGCACTTTTCCCTTTTCTCTTTATTTTTAAACATTATTTAACTATACCCAGAAAAGTGCAACAAGTCTAGTACAACTGGATGAATTACCAAAAAATGAACACACCGACTAACAGCCAGTTTCTCAGAAAACTCCCTCCGACACCGCCTGCTCTGTTCGCCTCATCATCCCAACCTGCAACCCCGGGGGGACTCCCCAGGCTGCGTGTGTGGACCGCAGAGGGCCTCCTTGCTCTGCTCCCATGGGTCACGCGCGTCCTTGCAGGCAATGGCGGTCACGCACTCCCGCTGCCGCCTGGGCGTCCACTAGGAGAGCAGGCAGCTCGCGGTCTTGCCCAGCGCATGGGAGGTGCACACGTGAGCTGTTACGAGTAAAGCTGTGAACGTCCTTACACGTGCATTTCAAAGTGGAGATGTTGGGTCACAGGGTGTCTGTGGAACTCGAGTAGACACTGCCGGCTTCCACGGTGGCTGTACTGACTCACATGGCACCAGCATGGGCTGCGAGTTCCACCGCTCCACAGCTCTGCCAACACGGGGCGGTGTCGGTCACGAGCCTCAGCCATTCTGTTCAATGAACAGCGGTTGCCTCTTGTGCTTCTAGCCTGTGTCTCCTTCATTCACCGTCAAGCACTGGCTACTTCTTTGGAGAAGTTTTTTTTGTGTGAGGAAGATCAGCCCTGAGCTAACATGTCACCAATCCTTCTTTTTTTGCTGAGGAAGACTGGCCCTGGGCTAACATCCGTGCCCATCTTCCTCCACTCTATGTGGGACGCCGCCACAGCATGGCTTGACAAGTGGTGCATCTGTGCGTACCCAGGATCAGAACCCCGGGCCGCCGCAGCGGAGCGCAAGCACTTAACCGCTACGCCATGGGGCTGGCTCCCTTTGGAGAAGTTCTTGTTCAAGTCTCTTCACGTTTTTCTTTTTTTTTATAATTTTATTTATTTATATTTTTCCCCCCAAAGCCCCAGTAGATAGTTGTATGTCATAGCTGCACATCCTTCTAGTTGCTGTATGTGGGACGTGGCCTCAGCATGGCTGGAGAAGTGGTGCGTCGGTGCGCGCCCAGGATCGGAACCCGGGCCACCAGCAGTGGAGCGCGCTCACTTAACCACCAAGCCACGGGGCCGGCCCCTCTTCACGTTTTTCTATTGGGTGGTCTCTTATTGTTCTGTAAGAGCTCTTTATATATTCTGAATACGAGCCTTGTTGTCAGTTAAATGTCTTGCAAATATCTTCTCCCACTCTGAGTTTGCCTTTTTGTTTTCTTTTTGCTGAGGAAGATCCGCCCTGAGCTAACATCTGTGCTAATCTTCCTCTCTTTGGTATGTGAGCTGCTGTCACAGCATGGCCACTGACAGACAGGTGGTGTGGGCCCACGCCTGGGAACCAAACCCGGGCCGCCTAAGTGGAGTGTGCTGAACTTAACCACTAGGTCACTGGGCTGGCCCTGCCTTCTGCTTCTATAATTGTACCTTTTGGTGAACACAAATTTCTAATTTTAATTTAATCTGACTTACCAATCTTACTTCTGGTCCCAAAAAGTGCACCAGGGATGAGCATCGGCATCCGCCAAGCCCCTCACCCCGACCCTTCCAGTCACCAGCTGGCCTCCTTCCACACAACAGTCACCCCCTGATCTCCAGCACCGCCCACCACGTGGCCTGCTGCTGACTTTCCACAGGACCCGACACCAACTCCTCCGCGTCTGGCTCCCCGCTCCACATCGCGTTTGGGAGACTCACTCCTGTGTATCCTCGTCTGTCCTTCATCCTCGCTGCTGCAGACCCTCCCAGCACTTATTTACCCCTCCTGTTGTTAACGGACACTAGCGCTGTCTCCAGCTCTTGGCGACTACAGATGGGGCTCGAATAAACATGCCCGACCACGCCTTTTGGTGAGCACACAGATGTGTTTCTACTGAATATTTATTTGGGTGGAACCGCCGGGTCCTGGGGAAGGCAAATCTTAAGCTTCAGGTGACACAGCAGACAGCTTTCCAAGGGAAATTTTCAAAATCTACACTGTCTCCAGCAAGCATCTGGCGGCTCCCGCTGCTCTGCACCCTCTCCCACCCTGGGGGTCTGCTGTGGTCGTAATCTGCAATTCTCTGCTAAGAAGTTAGGCTTCTTTTCCTATGCTGATTGGCCAGGAGGAGAGCCTCTTTAGTGAAGGGCCTGTTCGATCTACTGATAGTTTGCCTTTTTCTTATTGATTTGTGGATGCTCTTGACATATTCACAATAAGTACTGACGTGTATGTACGATCTCCTCTCTTCTTCACTCTCACTGGTGTCTTTTGGTGGGAGATGGCCTTAATTCCAACGTAGTCCAATTGATCATTTTTTCCTCTATGGGGGAAAAAGCACTTTTTGTGCTTCCCTGGTTAAGAAATCATCACCTACCTAGTCATGAAGATATCCTCTTCTCTTCCTCTGAAAGCTGTACGGTTCCACCTTTCCAGTGGGCACCACGACCCATCTGCATGGCTTCTGCCCACGGCAGAAGGGAGAGACGGAGTTCTCCCCTCCTCCACCGGATGCCCCACTGACCTAGTCCATGTACTAGAATACCACCCTCTCCCCAGGCATCACAGCATCACCTCTGTCATAAACGAAGCCACCACACATCTGTGGTGCTTCTGGACTCTTTGCTCTGCAGGTCTGCGTCTCAATCACTGTGTCTCTGTAGCAGGTCTCAATCTGGGTTACGTCTTGCGCACTCTGCTAATGGGTCTGGGTACTCGTTAGCCAATGAGCCTCACAATCCTCCCCTCCTGGCACCCCAAGGGCTACAGGTATCCTCGACACTCTGCATTTGCTGTATTTTAGAGTCTGTGTGACAACTTCCACAAAACCTGCTTCGGTTCTGATTGGGATGACACCGAATCTGCAGAGCAGACTGGAGAGAACTGACATCTTCACTATATTGCGTCCTCCGATCCGTAAACATGGCCTACCTCTCCAGGTATTCAGGTTCTCCTGGACTTCTCTCAGGAACACCGTTCAGTTTTCAGTATAGAGGCCTTGAACATCGCTTGTTGGATTTATTCCAAGGTATGTGATGTGACTGTAAATGGCATACTTCAAACACTTTCATGTGTTGCAGTTATGTGGAAACAGATTTCGTATGTTAATCTCTCGTCCAGCAACCTGACAGACAGACAGAGGGAACCCACCCCACCCCGGGAACCCACCCCACCCCAGTCTTCCTTCTCCACTTTTCTGTGGGGGTCTTCTCCTTGCCTTGCCGCATTTGCTTGGACCCCAATACAATGTAGAGTAGAAGTCATGAAAGCAGCCACAATTTGTCTCATTCTTTGATTTTTCTTGTAATTAAAGAAATTACTTAAAGTAACACCGGCACGTGACAAAAAAATTCAAACAGCAAAGAGCCTCCCAAACAGAGCACAGCTCCACCCAGGGGGTGCCCTGCTAACCGCTCGTTGGAAGTTCTTCTGTAGATGCCACTGCAATGGGAAACGTACCTCTGCCTCCCGAATCACTGACCACTAGGGCAAGCGTTCACACAGAGCCTCACCACGCCACCGCCTGTTGCCCATGCGCTGGGGCACATGTTAACTCATCTAATTAACCAGCCACGGACAACGTATGTTGATTTCCAGCTACAAAAGGGTAGGGATTTGGTGCCCCGCCCCGCCTGAGGTTTGCTCAACTGCGTCAGGACAATCTGGCAGTAGCACATTAAACCAGCTTGGCCTTTTCTCCCTGCTGCCTTCTCTGGGGGCTTATGTGCACCCTCCCTCCAGGCTGCAGACGCAGCCATGAGCTGGGTGGGAAGTTCTAACAGACAACAGGCAGGCTGGTAACAGGTCAGGGCAAACAAAACCCTCCGAGTGGTGAAGTTCTAGACGGTGGTGCTTTTACACATCCGTCCCTATCTAGGCTGGTACATTAAGGGCCCAGGAGCTTCCCAGTGGGTTAGAGCTGGGATCTGGGACTAGCCTGTTCCATGCCCCTCGCACCCCTGGGGCTAGAAACAGACTCAAATCCATAGCCAGCCACAGGGATCAAAGGCCCTGGAGCCGCCCCACGTGGAGCAGAGCGTGACATAACCAACACCCCAGGAGGCCTGAGCTCTTTGAAGAGGACTTCAGATTTCTGCTGGAACGTGGCCACAGCAGACTGACTTTCAAAGACTTCAGTCTACTTACATTTCGGTGGTGAGGATGGATAATCGTCTTTGAAAAGCATCCGCAGTTTAAACAACCCTCCTTCCCATGGAGTCTGTTGGGAAATAAGACTGCGATTAAATGTGCTGCCGGCCAGGCCCAGGAGGAGGGGCTTGCTTTTGCTGCACACCCCCTAGGACCACGAAGACCCCAGAGAGAGGGGAGCAGCCCAACTGTTCCACAAACAGGACTGTCAGGACCTCCATGAGCCCTTAGACTGAGTCGGAAAGAGCCCTCCTTGGAGCGGGGCAGGGCAGGAGCTGGGCTTCTGAGAAGACAGGGCCCCTGGCGGGCTGGCTCCTCCCACCCCGGGACAGGGTGAGGACTTGAGTGAACTCTACTGCATACCCCTTCCCCTAGAGGGGCATTCTGCGAGGCCCCTCCCTCAGGTCCCACCTGTCCCTGGGCAGCCTCCCAGCGCCACCATCCACTACCCCTTTCCAACCTCCCCCAGGAGGGAGACGGCCACAGCACACCTGCCTTGCCCTAAGATGAGGGGCCAGGAATGGTCTCAACAAAGGCTGGGTGCGTGCTGGGCGCTCAACAGCCTCAGACGAAGGATGAACCCAAACCACGTCACCTCACGGACAAAGCCGAGTCCTAATCCACCGGCTTAGTGCAGGGGGTGGGGACACTGTCAGGAAGCACTGAGGCTGAGCTCTCGTGATCTCACAACAGACCACGGGTGGGAGGAAATGGAGGTGATGATGCCTCCAGCATAACCCAGACACCTCGGGGGCCTCCTCCTCCGGAGTCACCCAGGCAGAACTATACGCAAGGTCATTAGAGACCCTCACTCCCAAATGCTTCAAGCGTGCGGGTCCTAACGGGCCGGGTGCACTCAGGGGAGCCGAGGAGGCGGCCCCACAGGGAGGACTGGCCAGTGTGTGAAGGACATGCAGGGGCCCACGCAGCCCTCTCCAGTGGCTGATGCCTGGCCTCTGCATCGCAGGATCTGCAGCTGCCCCAGGCTCAGAGACGCCCCAGAAGGAGCATCACTATGTCTGGGCAGCTGCAGCCCCAGCAGGTCTGGCAGGACAAGCCCGAAGGCCCTCGGGCTCCTCCAGACCAGTCTCCATCCCACCTCCAAGGCTCCTTCTGCTCCCGAGATGCAGCCGGTGGGGCACCTCCCCACACGTGAGGGGTTACATGTCACCCTACCCTCGTTCGTTCCCCATCTCACATCCCCCCGGGGCTCGCATGAGCATCAGGAATGTCACATGCACTCAAACACAAGTCCTTCTGAAGGACTTCTGTCCCTCTGTCCTGCTGCTAGAAGCCGACAAGTGGCAGAGGACATGAGCCACGGGCCTCTTACCCCTTTCTTTCCTGGAATGGCACACTCCCAGTTCATGAGGTTCATCGTGCCGTCGGGGTTTTTTGTCGGGACAGCCACAAAACCCTGGGAGAAAATACCACACAAGCACATCAGCCACGCCGTCTCACTCTATGCGCACAAGGACAAGCCTGTGGCCCCACCGCCTGCCAGCACGGAGGCAACGGCCCCCTTCCGGCAGGCCCCTTCGGGCAGGCCCCTTCGGGCAGGCCCCGTCCACTGCGTTGCACACAGAAATAAAGCTTTCCTTACAAATGGGTGGTCTTTTCTCCAAGCTTTCCTCTCTTGGGCGAGTCTGCTGAGGGCGATCCCCGACATATTCAAAGTCCCTGGAAGAGATGGGCAGAGGGTGCGATTAGGAAAGGCAAACCTGTTTCCCTGTCTCTTCACCTGACAACTGGCCCCACCCGCCTCCGGCAGCCAGGGAAGCAGCAGCTGGCCGCTCCCAAGACCCAGGCCTCCTGGAACACCTCCATGTGGGGCACCTTCCCTGTGTACATCTCACCTCCAGGGCTCCACGGCACACGCCGTGGACTCCATTTCATGGTGACACAGAGGTTCAGAGAGGTGAAGCCACACAGCTGCTAGGTGCTGCGGGGGAGGGGACACTGGGCACTCCCAACAGACACCTGCACACCTGTCCTGCCCTCTTCAGTCACATGCGGCAGTGGGCCAGAGTAACAGGGATTACAATTCCACCATCAGACTCCGCAGAAACAGCAGGGACAAGGTAGGGGTGTCCAGAGCACTAGCCTGAGACCCAGGAGGGGCAGTGATGGCGTGCTCGCCTCTGCCTGTACAGGGATGTGGGGGCGCTGTCAGGCCCCCAGCTTAGAATCAGGGGCTCAGAATTCAGATTTGGGCGCAGCCAGGAGGATAACCCTTATTCTTGAAAGGCAATGCAGCGGAAATGTGCCAGTGGGGCAGAGAGCAGTTCAACTGAGTTATGGACAAGTACAGAGATGGCACACCTGCCCACCAGCATCCAAGAGACCCCCCTTGTCACCAGGGCCCCAGGCTCCTTCCTCTTCTCCCTCCACTCTCACATCCTACAGCCCCACCTAGGACCTGCTGGCGCCCCACAAACAACGAACAGATCAAGGCCTGTCTCCCATTTACTTTGGGGAAGTCAACGCAAGGGGGAGCCAGCTAGCAGGGAGCACCAGGCGGAAGGGGAGACACCTCAGCAGGCAGGGCCCACCCGCCCCCGCCAGTGCACCGTGTGGGAGGGGGCTCCCCCCCATCACGCCCCGAGCCCCTCGACTACAGACCCTGGAGGCTCAGTGCCTTCAGCCGTTCAAATCAGCAGCCCAGAAGCCCTCAGCCTGCACTGTCTCATGCTTCCCGCAGGTAAAGCAGCATCTCAGGGCGCTGGATAGCCAGCAGGGCACAGCAGACCTTCAGAGGTCACAAAACTTGCCCAAGAACCTGACCCTGTGTTTGCTGACCTCCCAAGTCCGTGGAAACATTGAAGACACCCGCTGCATCGCCCCCTGCCCCCGACTCCCCCTCCTGTGATTACTCATGCGGCCTCCCCACTGCGGCGCAGGCTGACCCACAACTGCCTCAGCAATCCAAATCGCACCATTCTCCCCGCCACCCCCCACCTGGCTGCCGGGCCCTGGGCCCCAGACAACTCAAACAGCCCCTGTTTGTGCAGGAGGGGTCAAGTCAACAGGTCAGCAGCAGGCCAGACGGGCCACGCCTTGCTACCCTGCAGTACAGCCCCTTCTGAGTGTGGCCCTGCGCGGGGGCATCACCTGGATGCTTGTAAGAAATGCACATGCCCAATGCCCCCCCCCCCACCCCGAGTCAGGAACTCGGGGCTGCCAGCGCTCTGGGTTCTGGGCAGCTCCCGAGAAGTCAGCAAAGTGGAAGGAGGGGGTCTGGGATCGCCATTGCCGTGCCACCCAGGAGCCCAAGTCTCAGGAAGTGGGGCGAGTTACCACAAACCGCCAGACCAACCAGACGTGGTGCGCTTTCAAGAAACATGCATACTTATGTCATCATAAGGAAAAGTGACGGTCAAAAATCAAAACCCTCCAGTCAGGAAGCACAGCTGCCGGGGCAACACGTGACAGACGCACCCACTGGGGGCATGGCCTCCAGCTCCACACTGTGACCCCAGAACGCACCTTTACAAAGACTCTGCTCTTACCTGACCTCAAGATTAAGTATGAAATAGATAACATCAAGCTTGGACCCAACAGAATTTCTCTTCACCGCCACTCGATCCCAGGGTTCTAGTCTGCCCACCTCCCATGCGGTATGTGACCGGGCTGCCCAAAGCTCACACCCACCCGGGGTCTCCTTCCCTGGACAGCATGTCTCCATCTGGAATAGTCACTACTTCCCGCTACGTAAAATCGGGGCCAGCAGCTGAGAACAAGACGCGCATTGCTGCCCTGGGGGCTCACACAAGAGGAAGTCTTGTCCTGGGAAACACTAGGTGCCCGAGGTCCACAGCAGGACCACAGGGATGGGGAGGCACGCACCCTGGTTTCAAATGGTGGCCAGGTAGGCTACCCAAGCCCAGCCTGCAGAGATCAGGCAGGAGACTGTTCCAGGCAGGATGGTCAGGAACAGAAGGGCCCCGTGGGCCAGAGGCAGGGCCAGGGGGTTCAGGAGGCCTGGACATTGACCGTGAGGGCCTGGTGAGCCACTGTGAGGACCTGGGCTCGCACAGGGAGGTGGGGAGCTTGCAAGGACCTGGGCAGAGGAGAGCGCCAGCTAGCTCCTGTCTTTAAGGCTCTCTCTGGGCAGAAGTGCGCAGTGATGACTAGCCGCGAGGCCAGGAGGCTGGGGCAGTAACCTGGATGTCTGAAAATCCTTCATTTCCACAAGTTTCTCAAACCCTTCACTTCAACTGGTTCTTCTAAATGAAATGACCCAACTCCACCCCCATCCCCAGCTTGAGAGCACAGCACACACTAGCCTCCAAAGTCCTACAGTCCCCTGCCCCCAGCTTCCCCCACCGAAAGGGCACACACAGAATGGCCTCTCACCCCCAGCCAGGGTAAAGCAGACAGCACAGGCTGGCAGGCTGCTTCTGCTGCATTAATGAACACAGAAGTTCAGTGACCAAGACAAGCAGTTGTCGAAATGAGATGTAAGGACCCCCCCGCCCCCCAGTCTGAGCTGGGCTGGCATCACCAAGACGGGTTCCGTCAGCAGGACAAAGAGCCACAGGTGCACACCTGCACAGTCCCAGGCAGAGGACTGGTCCCAAGATGCTTCCACTCCCACTGACCTCCTGGTGTACAGGAGACAGCAGACAATTTGTTACATTTTAATTACAATACAGAACTCATTCAGAATCCCACTTGAAATGGAAACTCCTTCCCCAACTAACAGAGGCACTTAAGAAGCAGTTGAGTGTTCCTAGATGTTTCAGAGCGGCAAAGTTATAAGATACAAAGATAAGACATCCCCTAACTACTAGAGTTCTTCAGGCAGAGCACTGGAGTCTGCCCTCCACCTTCCTCCAGGGCCTGGCAGAGGGGTGTACTTGAACTTGCTCTTGTCAGATCATGCTCTACTAATTGACAGAACGGACCTCAGAGCTACTTACTGCATGAATATGGCAAGGTGCTCATCTTCCCCAGCCTCAACTTTCTCATCTGTAAAACGGGTGCTAGACTATGACCTCACAGGTTTGCCCAGGGTGACACTGATAATGGATTCCACGCTCCAGCCGGGCCTTTCCCACCCAAATGCAAACTCCGCAAGGGAGATTCCAGCAGAAGGCTTTCACTTCACCTGGCCCCAAGCACCTCGCACTCAGGAGACCTCCCGTCCAAGCTGCACATCTCTTGTTCTTTCCCAACATAATTCCCAGGACCCTGGGCTGTTTCTGAAACAAAGTCCCAAACCACAAGACTCACCGGGCAAAAGCACAACAGCATGCAGAATTCACCCCTAAACCACCCAAAAGGCGGAAAACAAATCAGGACAAACTTAGGATCCATGTCCCTTTTCTGTCGGATAGGTTCTCAACCCAAAGGCCTGTGTTTCCTCAATAGCAAGAAACATTTATGGCCACAGTCTTTAAAAGGAAACAAACAAAAAGCCAACTTTGCAAACACAGTAACAATATCTTCCCAAACTGAGAAACAAAGCATATTTTCAAATTATACAAACCGAACCGGCTAATACTGTGATTCCGGGGCGACTACAGGCCGCGATCGCGAGCCCAGCTAATCATCCCCTTCCTCCCTCCTACTCACGTAACTACCAGTTCCAACCTCCGCTCAATCGGTACAAAGCAACCTCCGAAAGAAAACTCTCCCTGAAGCGAAGCGCCCATGTTCAGTGTCCCACCAACTGCAGGTGGAGCTCTTTAGAGGCGCAAGAAAACTCAGGCTTGTTTTGATTTTCAGACATCAAACCCCCCCCCCCCCACGAGCCAGCGATTTTGCAACCCAAGACTTTCAAGTACCGGGGCCGCGCGCTGTCCCCTGGCTGCAGAGCGCCACAGGTCTGCGCGCAGTCCCGTGACCCCGGAAAACAGTCTCCCCGTGGAGGCTCCGCGGCGCGGTAGCCGCCCTCCAGCCCAGCGCCTGTCAACAGCGGCCGCGGCGCTCTGCGCTCCGGGACGCGACCGGGAGCCCCTCGGGGCCGCGGCCCAGCACGCGCTCTCCCGCCTTCAAAAGGGAAAGTGATGGGAACCCGGGGACGGGACGCGAGCCAGGCCAGGCGCGGGGGGACGCGGTCCGCCGAGGCCGCAGGCTCGGGCCTCCCTGCTCCGGCCGGCCGACTC